CGCATCAGCTTCTTTTGTTGCGCTTGGTGCTCGATAAACACAGCCTATGAGGAGTTTGTACTTATCTCCACGTAAGACAACCCAGAGCGAGTCAGGTACATTATTCATTATTTCATCTTCCACCTTACTGACTACAAATGAGCTATGTATATATACGAGACATCCTCCACCACGCTTGCGACCTCTATTTGCACGGTGTACAGTGTAATCATCGATACCTATATGCACATCAAGTACAGAGGATGAGCACCATGATTCAGTAATCAGAGCTACAGTAGGCTTGGCGACTAATAATAATGTCCTTAGTTCAGATATCTTATTGATTAAGGAACGTGCATTAATTAGCAATATCGTGAATGTCACCATAACCTAAATCTATTTATGCGTCACCACCACAAAAGTTTATGAATGAAAGGGGGGTCGGACTGGGTGTCTGTACATCTGGGTTGAAGTGCAATAAGGTGGCCCTAGGTGCCATGGGTCGTACCAGTGATTCGGGACACCTGGAAAATTTACCATGTGTTCCTAGATATAAGGGTAGTAGGGGTTGAGCCTAGGTTGACGGTTAAAAAGCATAACGTCAAAAGGTCTATCCATCCAACTGCTATTCGTCATACCGGTACACACCTTCATGTTGTTTTTATAACATAAAAAGAATTGTGAGGGAATGTGCTTTGGCTGCAAGACTTTAGGAGTCTTGGAGCCTGACTTTCTATAAGGTGGGGCATGCGGAAAACCTCCAGATATACTTGTGTTTCAAGAGGAGTTTTTCGCAACAAGTGAGAGTTTGTTGGCATTCTTACTCTCAGCAGGCTTATTGAATACAAAGTATTCTCCCCCATCATTAGTCTCAACCCTGCGAAATTTGTTTATCGTGGTGAGGTTATTAGTTTTGGGGAAAATTTCTTAGAACATCTTCCAGCAGTTCTAGTCATTTTAACATCTTTCTATGAGGCTTTATTTACAGGGGTACTGGTATCTAAATCAGTTCCTAGTTCCATCGGCAAGCGTGGTTGTTGTATAGTTTGCTGAATGCTAGTTTCAGCACTAGGTGTCTGTTGCTGTGCACGATCCTTTTTTGGTAAATCAAAGCTAGAGGAGGTGACCAGGTTATTACTCCACATTATTCTGCGCTGACACGGTGTTTTATCCTGAGCTACGGTTATAGACTTATAACTGCTGTTCAGTCTTAATTGATCCTGACATTCAGTAAACTTACTAGCATCAAGGGAATTACTGAATTTAAAAATGATGGGACAATTAGCCTGGTTAGACTTTTTACGAAGTCTTTTGCATTCACATGGAACACTAGCCATGCCGCAACAAATCAGGATTTTGTGTCTTACAGTTTTCAGGGGCAGAGAATCTGGGACGTTGTAAACTATAGCTTGGTGAGAAGAGGTTATACGCTTCATCACCTCCGTAGCCAAGCAGTCAATCAGATTTTCAGCTTTATTTAGGTTGTCTGGAAATATTTTAGGATGATGTTTTAACAGACAGGCTATTGGGTCTAAATCCGAAAGCTTGTTTTGAGTTACATCCAGTAAAGACTTAACCTGGCCAATATCAGAACGGCTCTCCGTGGTATTTGAGATTGGCAGTGACATACTATCAAACCGATCTAATTTTTCCTGAAGTTCACTTACTTGCCTCTGCATATCTTTTAAAAGGAGGTTTAGTTTACAGAACTCAGAGTTCTCTAACAGAACGTCTTTCACCTGTATCACAGGAGTGAGATCTGCACTCAAACCATTTTGAGAGCTAGTAGTTGATACTGTATTACAGGGCGGTAATGCAGTTATGACCAATTTCGAGCCACTATCTAAAACAACTGTGTGTTGTGTTTCTACGAACACGTTTTCTACAGATTTGGACCATAATTTCAAGAATTATATGACAGTAAGCAGTAAATAAATTTCAGAGCAAACACTTGCAAAAATGTCACCAATTTCGAACGTACCGCCAGCAGGGGAGTAGATAAACACGCACTACGTGGTTTCAGTGAGCGGACAACATCTTGATATAATATTCCGTGAGTATCCTCTGTATACATGTTATTAGACTCACTAACCTTTATCTTCGGATCATAAGAAGACTTAAGGTAGGTTTGTGAGGTGGTAGTCAGGCTTGGTCTGTCGTTGCGATAAAGTATACAGTGAGACACCTGTGTGATAATCAGATAATATTATTTTAGAGATATTAGCATCCGCGTTTGGTGCCGACACTTTGTCAGCTTTCTCCCGGCAAATTTGCCTTATCCTAGCTATAGAGTGTTCTCTGTGCCAGCAATGAATTGATCCGATATCATGAAAGCAGTATGCCAGGTGTTTCCATCAACTGACGCGTGTGGAAAGCCAGCACGAAGCAGCTAGTAGGGGAAATGCTGTTCTCAATGGTGTAATCAGTGTGAGGATTCGGTTGTTTTTCGCCAGAATAGCAATGAACTATTATTTTCCTTTTTCTGGCAGTTATCAGACCGTAGCGAGTTTTGTGCAAACATCGGTACATGCTCCCCAAAAAAGAAAAAGGGCGTATGAATGAGTACTGTGGGGTTATTTGGCTAATTAAATGTAGTTCGTAGCCGATGTTTTGGGGATTTCCGATGACCTACAATTGATAAAACGTTCAAAGAGGGCTACCTAGCAAGGGGTCGGTGCGGTGGATGAGAAGAGCAATACTGAATATCTCTCCGGGTTACTTGTCCAAAAGTATTGGTTGGATACCATTAAATTTTAGATTGAGACAAATCAAACCTGCTTCCAGGAGACTGATCTAACATGTCAGATATTAGAAAGGTTCGAGGATGTAGGTTCTACGGGAGAATACTATGTATAGTTCCAGATGACAAAATACAACCTTTGTTAAATACAGATAAGTGGATATTGTGAGGAACGCGACTAAATTCCAAAAGAATGTGGAAAAGTGATTCACACAGAAACAGAACACCTCACCTGCCACGACGCTCCGCATGTGCCTCATGACTCCGGACACCATCTTGTTGTCGAACTTAACATTAATCAGCAGGCGGTCTAACGTTTGCTTATCAGAGAGCTCTCTGCATCCCATTACCTCCTCTTTTGACTTGTTGTAGGGGGGTTCCACGCTGGATTGAACTCTGTACTCACGTGTCTGCTCGTGAATCTAGTTCGTTAGTACAGTGCAAAAATGGCCGATTTGGCGTCTCACGAAGAGGGCTAAATGGCAGTGAAATAATGTTCCAATCAAGCAAACCAAAGACAGGGTCCCTCTGATTTAAAGCTAGCACAGTAAGAGTAATACCACTAATGGATTTCGACTCAGAATTATCAGAGTTGGTGGAAAACATACTACAATTCACGGAAAAATGGTTTGAAAATAATTAAATAGCGAAATTGGCTAGATAAGATCCTGTTTTCCAGGCGTGTGTATCCTGAGATGTACGTGTTACTGAGTGCTGTTGAAGTAGTATTGCTTTTTTAACATGTTCAGCAGCACACTGTTCAATGTGTTGAGTCTCCTACAGTCAATAATGCTGCAGATTTTACTGCCAGCAACCTGAGCGAAGTTTCATCCAGACAACCTAATGAGTTCAGAAGTAACCCACGGTGGCAACCACTTCTAACGCAACTTTGAAATAATGCACGCCCCCAATAAAAATTTGAATGATGGCGGAACTGGAAGTTGGAGCATGTATACTGCTTCTACCTCTGTAGAGCAACTTTATCGACATTACTATATGTGTAAAACTTGGGCACTGTGGTAGTAAGTAATTCCATATTAGTTTGTTTATTACATATATCACAGTAAATAATACTATTTCACTGTGTGATATATCTAATAGACAAACTAATATGGAACAACTGTATTGACATTTTGCATTACCTGCGTCTTATTTACATCGTTGCTTTAAAGATTGAAATATCGACAGGCAGCATGCTTACTTCACGTTTTATGATATAACATAATGATACGTGCAAACTTGTGTCTGGCATACACAGACGAGTTAAAATGTGTACTACTAACGTCGTCTTTAAATTGTTCACCTCCTTTATTCAGAATAGTACAGTACTGAGAATCTGCCACGTACTTGTTTTTTCTTTATAATTTAACCGAATGGCTTTCTTTCTTTGTCAGCAGTAATTTACTGGGACCAATTCATTATGGTGTCATAGTAAGTGAAGTTTTCTGGTAGGCAAATACTTCCCACTAACCGCAGAGAAAAGGCCTACAGTCGACCAGTTCTATGCGCGTTTATCACTCCATCTGTTCCTGTGAGGCCAAGATTGCAGGTAGTTCCATGTGAATATCACTCTAAATGGTACCAGAATACCGGCCTTTTTGGCCGAGAAGAATTTCATTTATGGCTGCAGAAAGTGAACGAATCCAACTACACTATACCTCCGTCATACCATGATTAGAGCTCAATAATTTCCACACTATATATTATTGACTTTGGATTTTATTGAGGCAAACAGAAAGGTTGAAATGACCAAGAACGACTACATTTTCTTTAATCGCGGAAAGTTTCAGAATGACGAAGATTTTGGTGTAAACTAGGGGTATGCAACGTATTTCTTCTATTACTTTTCACAGGAGCTGTACAAAATATCATTCTTGACCCCACATGTTCGCTTAACACGTCTCAAGCGTTCGCCTGTCAGGAAGAGCAATGAACCTACTCGGATGGTGTACTGAGGGCAACAATTTGTCCCTCTGACGATGAATTAGTGTACACTTCTCCAGTCAAGACGAAACAGCCTTCCAGCGACAAAATCAAAGCAAGTTAGGGATTGTAGTGGCTCACTTTCCAGACGTGTTTAGAAGAAAGTTATGTTTGCCCGGAGATGAAAGCAACGTGGAAGGTCTACAGTCTCCTTCTAAATCTTCAGTATCATAAAATGTAGAATAGTTCAGTTGGTTTCAAAATTTTGTCTTTACTCTGGCTAATTCAAAAAGAAGTGAAGGAATCAAACATTAGCTAAATGCAGAATATTTTCAAGCTGTACGTATGAATAAACCCCATGGTTTTCGTTTTTCGTAATATATGGAGTTTGAAGCATTCAATGACCAGCGATAATGACATTGTCGTCAGGCTTTCAAGGTCAGTTGATGGGTATATAACACTTTTGAATCCAAGGGTATGCGTGGTTTTGCATTGCACAGATGTAAGTTAATCGAGTTTGTCTTTGTTTGATACCGCTTTAACGCATTGGTTTGTCCATACTGTTGAATAATTAACTAACTTTCCTACGAATACGTGAGACCTTCATGATAATTCATTTCTTCTTGTGAAAATTAATTTGCATAATTGTTAATTAATGACTATGTATAAACAGGTGTAGGAGCAGTTGCTTTTGACTAATTTTTCACACTAATGTAACTTTCAACTGTTAAGCTAGACGGATGCTAGTGTACTTCTTCTGTAGTGTGCTTTGACAGTCAGTCTGACTTAGAGTCTAATTTAGTGCTTTTTATTTTCCACTTTCAGCCAGCCAGACGTATTGTACAATACAAGAAAATGTAAATTTTATTAATTCTGATAATGTCTGTGAATCTCCAGGTCGTCTAAAATCACTGCAAGTTATGAAAATGTTTCCGAAGTGGCAGATCACATCAGAAAGCTGATAAATATTAAGCCAGAAATTGGCATCGTTTGTGGAAGTGGTCTTGGGGAGCTAGCCAATGGTGTTCAAAATGCTACAGTTATCCCATATGTAGATATACCTGGTTTCCCGAATTCAACTGGTAAGCATTTTGAAATCTTTTCCAAGTGCTTTAGTACAAGGACACTCTGGAAACTTAGTTTTCGGAACGCTGAGTGGCCGTAAAGTGGTTGTGATGCAGGGACGATTCCACATGTATGAAGGATGGACAAGACATGAAGTAACCATTCTAATACAAATCTTTAGATGTTTATCGTAGATAGCCATTCCTATTCGCGTCATGAAGCTGTTGGGAGTGAAGACTCTATTGTTGAGCAATGCTGTTGGTGGTTTAAACAGAGATCTTAAAGGTGGAGATTTCGTTGTTCTGAAAGACCATCTTTACTTTGCTGGTCTTGGTTTAAATGGTATTCTAGTTGGTGAAAATGAAGACAAGTAGGTCACTTTTGTTTCTAGTGATTTGTACCTCTTTAGATTTGGCCCTCGATTCCCAGCTCTTTCAGATGCCTACGACTCCGACCTGAGAAAGTTGGCCATAAAAATAGCGAGAGAGGAGAAGTTTGGAGACGTTGTCCACGAAGGTGTCTACGGAATGAATGGTGGTCCATGTTATGAAACACCCGCTGAGTGCAAAATGATGCTCATGATGGGTTGTGATGTTGTTGGTAAGTGAATTATTTTCTGTGTGATTTGACTGGATAAGTTGGGCAATGTTCGTCAATCACCATCAAAAGCTAGTTGTCAGGAAACTCTGTTCCACTACGGTACTGAACATGTGTTAGTCAACAGTAATACCGAAATTCGCAGGGAGAGACTGAGGCAGAACTAACTCTACTAAACTAGATGGACTTCAAGCCCAGGGAAACAGGTACAAAGAAGTTGAAGTATGGTCACGTAGGTCGGAAGTACACGAAAAAGTGTTATTTGGATAGTAAGTAGGAAACACAGTTCCGTTAAAAATATGAAGATAGGTTCTAGTGACTAGCATAGTGGAGATAGAAAAGGAAAATTGGAAGTATCTGACTGGGTAAGTTTGAAGTTCTTGCATACAATGCATTTATGTAGTCTGTGTCTATAGAAAGCGCTACTGAGGAATGGTGCTAACCATCACCGAATCTGCACAACTGTTTGGTGGAGATGAGAACAAGGCCGAAACATGAGTCATCAGGTGAACGAATAGGCGGAATAAATATGGCTTTGATGTCTGAAACAATCGACAAAGTTGGGTATGAAGAAGCCACATGGCTGGAGAATTTGTCGGCCTAAACTGAAATGAATGGAGTCGCTCAGTGTTGAAATATATCAATGATATCCGATTGAAATGCGTAGTGATGTGATCCACTAAATGTTTCCTATTTCTATTCCAGGTATGAGTACCATCCCTGAAGTGATATTCGCTCGTCACTGTGGAATGAAAGTACTTGCAATTTCATTAGTGACAAATATTAGCGTTTTGGACGTTGACAGTAAAGTATGTGCAAATCATGAAGAGGTGTTAGCAATGTCGAACAAACGTGCGACTCTATTACAGTCATGGTTCGCCAAGATTATTTCCAGATTACCATCTGAATAAATGAAATGTGCAATATTGATTTTTGTATCCAGAAATGTGAAGATTTTCTTTCTAATATTTTGTACTTATTACTTGTAGTTTATTTTTAAGAGAATGAACACTTTCCTTGCAAATATATCCAGTTCGAAATATTTACAAATGAAAATAGTTTTGAATTCTTATTTTTATGCACGGTGGTCAACGTTAGCTGTTGATGAGTTGACGGTTGAAAGGGATTAGGAACAGTTAATTGTACGCCGACTTCATACTGACATATCTTGCGAAAACTGTTGAAAGGTGGAACAGTAGGGATATGCATTGGAACCGAACTCATGAAACTGCAGAAGAATAAATAAGTAGAAGTGGGGAAATGTGATACCAGAACTAAAATAGGAATGAATTATTGGTGCATTTAACCCCCTGTCATCTATCGAAAATATCCAACTATCAGCTCTATTCACCACAGCTGATATAAGTCAAGTAACCGATATACCTCAAGTAAAATGTCAGTGGTATTATTCACTGGTTTTGTGTCATAGTTTATCCACTGAGTGTTGTTTCAACGTAATGTAACTGCACTCACTGTTGGACGTCGAAGTAAATTGTCTCTAGGATATATCTTAAACCTGTTTCATTCGTTTAGGAGTATTTCCTAAGAAAAACCCTCTGAGTGGTTGGTTGGGATATCTGCATACTATTTGATGTGTAAGCTACAATAATTATTGATCAGGGAATGTGTTCTCAACAGACTGATTTTTCCACTTCCTACACTCCGGTGTTGGATAAATCGCAATACTTTACCTCTTGTCGCTCATTCCGAATGCCTTGCTAAAATGCGAATTAGGAATAATATCGATGCAAATCATCTGTGCTGTGGTATTAATTCTACAACGAGTAAGACTGAATGCTGTCAGACAGCTATTAATGATAATAATAGACGCATGGATGCTTCACCAAAGAAGGTCAAGCCAGACCTACATATTCAGATATTCTTCTCATTTCTCTCCGACCAGAGAGCAGATGGGCAGCACAGTATATTCAATAGATCTCTACATACTGACATCTTTAGGGACATGGATATTGAACTGTTGCCATTTTCTGGTAATATGGATGATATTTAATCGTGTCATACACAAAGCATCACATAGTTTATAGTTTCTGAAAATGTTCAGCGGTGTGTTCAATGGGTGAGACGTACATGTAAGACAAGATCGTTGGTTGTCTTGTAAAGTAACAGCGACTGGTGCATTCAAGTTTTATTGCTTATTTCTGTGAAACACTGTTGTTTACACATCTGTGAATATTCATCTTTACTAAACCTCAGTAATATCTGGAAGAGCATTTATTGATCTGGACAATTTTGTACTTAATCTTCAGATTATTGAACTGATCCATGAAAATATTGTGTATAACAGCGACTGTATTATTATCATCATCGTCAGAACACAAACTGGGTATAGTATGGGCAAGAAGAGGTGCGTCATGTTTTGTTCGAAGGCTAGGATACTACCACAGTTCACTCAGATCGAAGCAAGTGGCTACAGTAAGGCGGCACTCCTAAGTCCTTGACTTGATATCTGATCCACAAGGCAGTGGAGTAGCGTCAGGAGCTATTTTCTCATGGTTGATGCAATGTATATATGTAGGAAATATAACTTATGGGGGAAAACGTCTGATTTTCTCTCAATGACCAGTACTTGTCAAACTAGTTTGTGAAATCTGCATCAAACTTCCTACACAATACTCTCTTCTTTTGAAAATGACAGTATTCACTTGTTTCCAGTTTCATGAAAAAGTTACTGAGATTTCCACTCTCCACATCTGTAGACACTTCTTACCACTGCTCAAATCTCCATGTAACGTGCTTTGTGAGCCATCTTTGCTAGGTGGGATGGCAGAAAGCATGTCAAATACACACTGGATGCCGACTAGTAGAGACCGATTGTTGTGGTGTACTTTAGTCAAGGTGTCTTCTGCACGGAATTCTTCCACGGTCTCACCGACATGTTTGCATCTGAAAATGGAACTCAACTGATCAAGTAATTATATATCTATCCGAATTCCGTAACAAACCTACAGTGAAAGTGGGTTTTTGTTGAAGCTATCGAGTAATGGCGACGCATGATTCAGGAAGCTGACACAAATACGTCTACGACAATTAAGCATCTCTCAGATTTCCTAACCTCAGTGATATGCAAGAAACGATAACTGGTGACGCTCAATCTGCTCCCAAGAAATTAAGCTGAAAACATTTGTTATTTTTTGTACACCTCTTTCATTCCCACTGCAAGTTAATGGAGATTTATGTGATGGACTGAAGTGACAATGTCCGGTATATAACAATTAACTCTCAATCTTGTGTTATATGTATGATACCGCTCGATTCACATCGGAGGAACTATTTTGATCCTTTCAATATCCGACGTCTATTTTTAGGATGATGCTTCCAGAGAGATGTAAGCATGATTAGTTGGTGAGGAATCGTATAGAAACAATCATACGAGAGAGTTTTAAACGGAGATGACTGATAAGTTCACTGAATCTGGGAATGAAGATTTCGAATTTCGGTAACTGATGAAGTTGTGAACAGCCAGCCAATTGACAGGGGTTCATCACCGACATACTTCAGTCGGCTACTCTTGTGTTCGCTGGAGAGTAATCTTAGACAACAGCTAGATCACTCTTGAATTCAGCTTTCCCACATATCATTATACTGTTTACGGACACTGATTCATATTTCTTGGGTTTTAGCCGAAACATGGTAGATTTCTACTTCCAACCGGAATCTTCCTCGCTGTATTTCGCTCTTCCTTCATATCATCAATGCTAATTCACATCTTAAACACTTTGTCTCATTCTACAATCAAATATCTGTGAATGTCTACTTTCTTTCTATACCTTCGCGACATTATAATCGGCACCAAAGATTTTGTTCCTTATCACCGGTAGTCTCCAATCATCGGTTGTTAGCATACCGACAACTCCAGCCATGAAGTTTACGCCTCCCTACACGGGTGGCTGTAACCAACAATCAAATTTTGATCGACTGGTGTCAGCTTTTGGTTTGACCTCTCTGAACTCCTGTACAAATTAATCTTATGTCTCTTAGCATTTAGTCCTATTAACACCATTCATTCGCTGAGTTTTGAATGGATCATAGTGTCTCACTGATACATCTTCATTCCACTCAGTCCTGTGACGTCATTTCCACAACTACTCATTTGTTTTTGTTTCCTCTTCACACCATCTTCTCCATATGAATCTCAGGCGTCCAACTCGTTGATTCCCAATCAATTCCCATTCGAGAGAATGGCGTTTGATGTCGCTCGACAGTCTCTAAAGCCCATATGTAATCAACCCTTATTTCATTTTGCATACACGTTACTCAGTAAGTTATTGGTTGGTTTCAATTTCGACTACGGATTAATATCAGTTAGGGAACCATTGGGAACTAGCAGGGAGTACTGGACAGCTGTTTCGACCTAATATGGGAACGATAGACACTAGGCACCCACCACCAGAATTGGAACCCAGGAGCTTCCAGTTACAAGGAAAGCTCGTTGAGCATACAGCCACTGAGACCTGACTCAGTGACCATCACATGAATTCTAACTTTTACCGATTCGTGATTTTAGTCGATCATAAGTCAGTGTCATGTGAGAGTATTTGTCTTCACCTTCAACCAGGTTGATCGCATTGGTACTAATTATCACTGGAAATGCAGGCCACGTCTTCCTGTAGCCAGTTCTTTGTCACTTATTATCTTCAATAAAACTATACAGTTCTTCGATATTACTATTTTTGCCTCGTATCTCTGTTTTATGATTTTATATTTGTATCCTATAGTTCCTAGAGGAACATAGGGCTTCAGCTGCGCACCTCCATTGACTTCGGTTTTCTGACAACTTTTCACCCGCTCCAGGTCTGTCCACATGCTTTCATCTCCTCCTCGCATGACCTCCTCAAAGTCACCCTTGGACGACCAACTCGCAGCCTCCCTTTCGGGTTCCACTCGAACACTGGCTTATCTAGTGATGTCACTTGATGGTTTCCTCAGCGTATGGCCAATCCATCTCCATTTCTTTCTACCGATTTGTTTCACAATCGGTTCCTGATTGGTTCGCTCATTGCCAGAGATCCCTGTTGCTGATCTTTTCTGGCTGGCCATCTGATCTTGAGTATTGAGCGAAGACAGCTGTTAATGAAGGTCTGAAGTTTGTTTGAGATACTCTTTATGACTCGCCAAGTCTCTGATCCGTATAGTAGCACTGACTTTACATTGGAGTTGAAAATCCGGATCTTATTTTTGATGCTGAGTGCTGTTGGCCTCCACACAGATTTGGGAGTAATGAAAGCTTGTCTTGCTTCTCCGATTCTGGCTTTGATATCCTCGTCAGTTCCGCCTGTAGTTGAGACGATGCTTCCCAGGTAGGTGAAGGAGGCTGTTTCTTTCGGGTTCCTCCCATTTATGCTGATTGTTGTCTGTTGTTGTTGATGTTGGCTAGGAATCTTCATCACCTCTGTTTCATCTATGTTCACTTGAAGTCCTATCTTTGATGCTTCTTCTGCCAACTTGTTGCTTTTCACTTGCATATCTTCCAGTTTGTGGGAAAACAGACATATATCATCGGCGAAATCCAGATCCTCCAAGTCTTTTGTGTCAGTCCATTTTATGCCTGTTCCCTCGTTGGTTGCCGTTGTCTGTCGCATTATCCAATCGATTGCAATCAGGAAGATCATTGGTGATAGTAGACAGCCTTGTCGCACTCCCGTCCACACTTTGAAGGCTTCCGTAAGTTTCCCGTTGTGGATTACTTGGCATGCAGCATTGTCGTACAACTAACTGTTGGATGAGATGTATAATTGTCGATGGGACCCCGTAGTAGCGAAGTAGTTGCCAAATGACCTCTCGATCGACGCTGTTGAAGGCCTTCTCAAAGTCGATGAAGTTGAGATAGAGAGGTGACTACCATTCCAAGCTTTGTTCAATGATGATCCGTAGAGTGGCGATTTGATCAATA